AGGCTAGGTTTTCTTATCTGTTAAATGGGAATAATAATACTACTTTAGAGTTTTGATGTGAATATTAAATGAGTTCAGGGCCATAACACGTAAAGCGCCTAGCATGTGGTAGGAATTCAGTGAGTGTTCTCCCTTTCCAGAGCTTTTTAGTCCTGTGTTTAAGGTGAATTTCTCTTCTCAACTTACAGCTTCTGAAACCATATTTGAGACTGAAATTCTGTAGCTTTGAAATCACGAAGAAAATTTAAAATAAGGCCATTGAAAATCAATTTTTTGTACACTACAATTAATTTAATCATAATTTACTTAATTTCTGATGAAATAAGAGTTATGCTTGAAATTTTGTCATTCTACCAAAAAAAGAGAAATATTCTAATTATGTCTTTAAGTTTTATTTTGAATAATATCAAATTTATAGAAAATTGCAGTGGTACACAGATCCTCCTTTATTCACATTTGCCAGTATTTAACATTATGCCATATTTTTGTTTTCATTTTCTCTCTCGCTCACTTTCTCCCCCCTCTCTCTACACACACACACACACACACACACACACACACTTGTTTTTCTTTACTGTTTGAGACTAGGTTGCATATATCATGCCCCTTAGTAAGTGCCAGTGTGTAATATGGATATTTTCATACATGACCACAATAGATGTGCCATTTCAGGAATTTTTTTTATTTAAAAAATATTTTTAATACAATTTTTAAAGGTTACTTTCTATTTACAGTAATTCGAAAATATTGGCTGTATACTCCCGTGTTGTACAGTACATCCTTGAGCCTATCCTATACCCAGCAGTTTGTGCCTCCCACTCCCCCACCCTTTTATTGCCCCTCCCCGCCCACACTGGTAACCACTAGTTTGTTCTCTATATCTGTGAGTCTGCTTCTTTTTTGTTATATTCACTAGTTTGTTGTATTGTTTAGATTCCACATATAAGGGACTTCCCTGGCAGTCCAGTGGTTAAGACTCGGAGATTCCAATGCAGGGAGCGCAGGTTCAATCCCTCGTCAGGGAGCTAAGCTCCCATGTGCTGCATGGAGCGGCCAAAGAAAAAGATTCCACATATAAATGATATTATACAGTATTTGTCTTTGTTTGATTTATTTCACTTTGCGTGATTCCCTCCAAGTCTATCAGTGTTACTGCAAATGGCAAAGGTTTGTTCTTTTTTATGGCTGAGTAGTATTCCATTGTGTGTGTGTATATGTATACACACCACATCGTCTTTATCCATTCATCTGTTGATGGACACTTAGGTTGCTTCCATGTCTTGGCTATTGTAAATAATGCTGCTATGAGCACTGGGGTGCATATATCTTTTTGAATTAGTGTTTTTGTTTTTTTTCAGATATATACCCAGGAGTGGAATTGGTGGGTCATATGGTAGTTCTGTTTTTAGTTTTTTGAGAAACCTCCATACCGTTTTACACAGTGGCTATACCAGTTTACATTCCCACCAACAGTGTAGGAGGGTTCCCTTTTCTCCACATCTTTGCCAACATTTGTTATTTTTGATCATAGCCATTCTGACAGGTATGAGTTAATATCTCATTGTGGTTTTGATTTGCATTTCCCTGTAATTAGTGATGTTAAGCATCTTTTCATATGCCATCTGCATTTCCTCTTTGGAAAAATGTCTATTCAGTTCTTCTGCCCATTTTGAAATAGCGTTTTTTTTTTAAAATATTTATTAATTTATTTGGTTGCACCAGCAGGCTCCTTAGCTGTGGCATGCAAACTCTTTGTTGTGGCATGCATGTGGGATCTAGTTCCCTGACCAGGGATCGAACCCAGGCTCCCTGCATTGGGAGCGCAGAGTCTTCTCCACTGCATCACCAGGGAAGTCCTGCGTTGTTTGTTTTTTTGATGTTGAGTTGAATGAACTGTTTATATATGTTGGATATTAATCCCTTATTGGTCATATCATTTGCAAATATTTTCTCCTTTCAGTAGGTTGTCTTTTCATTTTGTCAGTGATTTCCTTTGCTGTGAGAAAGCTTTTAAGTTTAATTAGGTCCCGTTTATTTTTGCTTTTATTTCCTTTACTTTAGAAGATGGATCCAAAATATTTTGCTGCAATTTATGTCAAAGAGTGTTCTGCCTGTGTTTTCCTCTAAGAGTTTTATAATATCTGGTCTTACATTTAGGTCTTTAATCCATTTTGAGTTATTTTTGTATATGGTGTTAGAGAATGTTCGAATTTCATTCTTTTACATGTAGCTGTCCATTTCAGGAAATTTTTAATTGGTTTAATCATACACCCAATCTATAGTCTATATTCCAGTTTCATCAGCTTGTCCTATTAATGTCCTTTGTAGCAATTTTTTCCCCAGATCAGGATTCAGTTCAGGATCACACATTGCATTTATTTGTCATCTCTTCAGTTATCTTTTCTTCCTTCTTTCTTTCTTCCTTTTTTTTTTTTTTTTTTCTCCCTGGCTGTGCCATGTGCATGTGGGATCTTAGTTCCCCAACCAGGGATGGAATCCACACCCCCTGCAGTGAAAGCTTGGAGTCTTAACCACTGGACTACCAGGGAAGTCCTTCAGTTACCTTCAATTGGGAATTGCTCCTCAGGCTTCCTCTTTTATGACATGACATTTTGAAGGATGCAAACCCCTAGGTTTGTCTGATGTTTCCTCAAGATTCATTTCAGATTATGCATCTTTGACTGTCTTTCTATATAGGGATATTGTGTTACTTCTAGACCTGACATTTGGTAGCACATGATGTCTATTTGTCCCTAATTGGTCGTGTTAATTTTGATTACTAGGTTATGGTGTAACCCACTTCGCCACTCTAGAGTCACTTTTTCATTTTTGTAATAAATAATTTTTAATAACTAGTTCAAAACTATGTAGATATCCCGATCATCATCAAAACCCTACCACCAACACCAGAATCATTCACTGATGGTTTGTTCCTGAACCAAATTTTATTCCGATGATTGCAAAATACTGATTTTTCTAATTCCATTGTTCTATATTTATTAGCTGACATTCTACCATAAGAAAGAGCTTTCTCTTCTCCCCCATTTATTTATATACTTATATACTATCAATAAGAGCTCGTGGATTCTTATTTTAGTCAATGGATTACAATGCTTTGCTGTGCTTAGTTATTTTGATACTCAAATTGTACAGATTTGGCCAGTGGGAGCTACTTCAAGTTGGCTCCATGCCCTTTCCACATGAAGAATTCTGGTTCCTTTTACTGAAGAGTGGTTTTTAGAAACCAGAATCTGGGTTACACTTTTTAAACATTGGAATTCCTAAATTCTTAGAAGGAGCAGTGGGGAAGGTTTTTGGAGACTAAAATCTGCTGTGAAAGCCTAGTTTGAACACTTGTGTTTTTGCTTCTTAGATCTGGGTAAAAATATTCTTGTAATCAAACTCAGACTTGCTAGTATGTTTACTTACCAAATTTGTCATTTTTTAAAGTGGATCTTAAGGAATTTGAAGTAAACAGCAGAGATGGCTTCACTGTTGAAATTTTCTCAGTTGTTTATTTTAGCATTTAACATTCATTTTAAATGAACAAATGCCATCTCATGCATAAGATAATAGTTCTCTCCTCATATGTATCTAAGTAACAGGTATTTGTAAAAGCTAATGACAAAATACATATTTGTTTTCATTCTTAGATCATGTGGTGTTCTATAGAGGCTTTTTTTTTATTGAAAATACTATTAAAGAACTTCCTACTTATAGGACATTTGTATCTTCTAGGACATTTGAAGTAGCAAAACTTGCTTGTGAGTCTTCATTAATGTTTTTTTGGTTGTTGTTGTTGTTTTATAAATTTATTTTATTTTTTTATTTTTGGCTGCGTTGGGTCTTTGTTGCGGTGCGCGGGCTTCTCATTGCGGTGGCTTCTCTTGTTAGGGAGCACAGGCTCTAGGCACGTGGGCTCAGTAGTTGTGGCTTGCGGGCTCTAGAGCGCAGGCTCAGTAGTTGTGACCCATAGGCTTAGTTGCTCCGCGGCATGTGGGATCTTCTCGGACCAGGGCTCAAACCCGTGTCCCCTGCATTGGCAGGTGGATTCTTAACCACTGAGCCACCAAGGAAGTCCCCTTCATTAATGTTATGATAGGGAGAATCTAAACAGTTTTTACATATTTTATTACATGCTAATATTAATCCACCATCACAGTAACTGGAATAAGGTGGGCCCTACAGTCACCCAGATCTCAGACAGATAATTCCTACCTAATTTTTGTCTTTCCCTTAGTTGGCATTATTATGTTCCCCATAATATTATTTTTAATGTGCTGTATCAGTATTTGTAACTTCCAGCTTGGTATTTCTGCTGCTAAGTTCACGAAACGGGTTTTATACCTAACTAAGTGAAAGCAGTTCTTTTAATTTATTTATTTATTTATGGCTGCATTGGGTCTTCGTTGCTGCACGTGGGCTTTCTCTAGTTGTGGCAAGGGGCTACTCTTCATTGCAGTGTGCGGGCTTCTCACTGTGGTGACTTCTCTTGTTGCGGTGCGCAGGCTTCAGTAGTTGTGGCGTGCGGGCTCAGTAGTTGTGGCTTGCAGGCTTTAGAGCACAGGCTCAGTAGTTGTGGTGCACGGGCTTAGTTGCTCCGCAGCATGTGGGATCTTCCTGGACCAGGGCTCGAACCCATGTCCTCTGCATTGGCTGGCAGATTCTTAACCAAGCAGTTCTTTTTAAGAACAGCACCTCTTTCAACCTCTTTCCCAAGGAGGTTGTAGACGCTGATTTGTCCTCATAAAATGGGCCAGCTACTTGTTTTTAGGACAGATTCCAGAAATGGTATCGCAGATGGGAGAAGTTCTTTCTGCAGGGATGGCTTTCTAAGCTCTTCATCTTCGTGATTAGAACTGACTTGAGGATCAGATTTCCTGATGATTGACAATTGCGAGACCTTTGGTTCTCAAAGAATGTGTTCTTTTCAACTGAAACTATTGCAGAGGCCTGCTTTTACACCCAGAGCTACTGACCAGTTCTCTTTTCCTTTCTAGAAATGACACTCCTCTCCTCCCAGTCTTCAGCACTAGTGGCCCCTTCTGGGTCTGTGTCCACTGAAAGCCCAGAGCAGAGGATGCTGGAGAAGAGAGCCAAGGTGATAGAGGAACTTCTTCAGACGGAGAGAGACTACATTCGGGATCTGGAAATGTGTATGGAGCGGATCATGGTACCCCTGCAGCAGGCACAGGTGGGAACTGTGGGAGAAAGTTAGCTTTGCCTTGAACGTGGTTCTCCAAGCCTGATGCATTAGGGTACGGGAGCTTTCACCACAAAGATTTATTGGGTTTGAAATAAAATTTATTGGGTTTGCTGCTCTTAATTCAAGGGCCCCAGTTTACTTAAGCGTTCACCATCCTGTCACTTATCAAGTCCATTATTAACTTATTAACTTAAGTTACTGCAATAATTCCTAGGACATTTCCTGTTTCTGTGGCTCCTGAAAACAGTTCCAGTGAGTCTGGGATTGTCACTTTACTGGGAGGCTGTGCAATAATATAATGAAGTCTGGGGATGGTGGGTTACCTGGCTGTAGCACCTGATTGTATAAGGTTTATTCCAGAAAGTCTTACTAATATGTGTATGCTAGACACTCTCTTAGATGCCGAAGATAGGGAAAAAACATTATTGGTATCCCAGGGATTTACAATCCTATTGCTTGTTACTTGACCACTTGGGCTCAGCTTGAGTGTGGACTTCTGGTGCAGTCACTCACAGAACTTCTCTAGGAAGTGGACGGCGCCATCTGATTTTGGGTACTGGGTGGAATTTGTGTCCCAGTACAATTATAGAAATTGGTTCTACGGTCATTTTACTATGGTAGTAGGGGAGGGGGGAGAAGAAAGTAGTTGGATCAAGGACAGATGGTGACTCTAAAGGCGATGTTAGATGTTCCCATTCTGGAAACTTCGTGAGAGTGAGTGAAGATAACCTTGAGCAGCTTTTGTATCATCCTTTGAAGAGATGTTCCTAATGTGAATGATATGCCATTAATTTTATTTCTATGCATCTTTGTTTTGTTTTCCTTTCTCAGATACCAAACATTGATTTTGAGGGACTTTTTGGAAATATGCAGATGGTGATTAAGGTCTCAAAGCAATTATTGGCTGATCTGGAAATCAGCGATGCCGTAGGTATGAGCCCCTGCCATTGTTTCAGAAGCAGGTTTTTTTGTTTGTTTGTTTTTTTAATTTCATAGGTAGGAGGCAGGGGAAGAAGGGCCCAGCTGGTACTGAGTAGTTTTGTTAGGAAAATTAAGTGTTAATTACTTAGTTCGAAGGTTATTTGGCCCCTGCTTCTCCTTTTATATACCTTGAGGTGACAGAGGATGCTTGCAATAGAAGAAATTTTTGTTGTCACATGATATGATGTTTTTCAGACCAACAGTTGCAGCCTATTTGTGGGTCATGAGATCAGTTTAGAACCCAGTAACACAGTGGGTTTATCTTACAGCTAAGGAACCAATCACACTTAGATAAACTGCAGTATTATAGCAGGCCTCTGGCAGATTCGTCCAACTTTGTACAGGAAGAAGACATTGTTATTCTTGTCAGGAACAAACCTGCCGTCTGTCCAGGAAGGAGAATCTATCTCTATCTTCCAAGGCTTTCTGTTTATATAAACATCCTTGGAAATATAATCTGGGACAAGAGCTGTCCCAAGTCATGTAGAAATGCCGTGGAGAATTGATCTTCAAAAAGTTGCCTTTCAGGCTTCCCTGGTGGCGCAGTTGTTGAGAGTCCGCCTGCCGATGCAGGGGACACGGGTTCGTGCCCCGGTCCGGGAAGATCCCACATGCCGCGGAGTGGCTGGGCCCGGTGAGCCATGGCCACTGAGCCTGTGTGTCCAGAGCCTGTGCTCCGCAACGGGAGAGGCCACAACAGTGAGAGGCCCGCGTACCGCAAAAAAAAAAAAAAAAAAAGTTGCCTTTCTTGGGAATTCCCTGGCAGTCCAGTGGTTAGGACTCTGAGCTTCCACTTCAGGGCACCTGGGTTCGATCTCTGGTCAGGGAACTAAGAATCCCACAAGCCATGTGGCCAAAAAAAAAAAAAAAAAAAGGATGCCTTTCTTTATTTATAGTCTTATTAATAAAAAAAAAAAACTACTGAATGGTCTCTAAAAAAAATTAGCACCCAATATATATTTTTCCAATAAAATAAAATAGAAAATATCAGAATGTACTGTAAATAATAACTATAGTTTTTTGAAACTTTTTCCCAATTTTTTGTATATGTATACTGAGTCACGATTTCTTTTTTTATTAATTTATTTTATTTTTGGCTGCGGTGAGTCTTCATTGCTGCACACGGGCTTTCTCTAGTTGCTGCGAGCAGGGGCTACTCTTCGTTGCGGTGCGGAGGCTTCTCATTGCGGTGGCTTCTCTTGTTGTGGAGCACAGGCTCTAGGCTCGTGAGTGTCAGTAGCTGTGGCATGTGGGCTCAGCAGTTGTGGCTTGCGGGCTCTAGAGCACAGGCTTTGTAGTTGTGGCGCACGGGCTTTGTTGCTCCGCGACATGTGGGATCTTCCCGGACCAGGGCTCGAACCTGTGTCCCCCACATTGGCAGGCAGATTCTCAACCACTGTGCCACCAGGGAAACCCTGAGTCATGATTTTAAATGTATTTATTCATGTGGGTCATTGTCAAAATGTTTGAAAAACAATTATTTCTTATAAACAAGGGAATTGTGTTAGTTATCTATTGCTGTGTAACAAATTATACTAAAGTTTAGTGCCTTAAAACTAGAAACACGTTAGGTCACTTTCCTGTGGTTCAGCAATCTGGGAGTGGCTTAGCTAGGTGATTCTGGCTCAGGGTCTCTCATGAGGTTGGAGTCAAGCTGTTACCTGGGCTGCTGTCATCTGGGGCTCAATCAGTGATCCAGTTCCAAAAGCTCACTCAGCTCATCAAGCCTCGGTTCCTTGTCATGTGAGCCTCTTCACCATCTTCATGACCTCAGGACATGGCAGCTGGCTTTCCTCAAAGTGAGTGATCCAAGAGGAAGAGGAAGCTCAAGATGGGAGCCAGTGTCTTCTTTTTTTTTTTTAATTTATCTTTATTTTTGGCTGCGTTGGGTCTTCATTGCTGTGTGCGGGCTTTCTCTAGTTGTGGCGAGCGGGGGCTACTCTTCGTTGGGGTGCTTCTCATTGCAGTGTCTTCTCTTGTTGCAGAGCATGGGCTCTAGGCTTATGGGCTTCAGTAGTTGTGGCTCGCGGGCTCTAGAGCGCAGGCTCAGTAGTTGTGGTGCACAGGCTTAGTTGCTCCCCAGCATGTGGGATCTTCCTGGACCAGGGCTTGAACCCGTGTCCCCTGCATTGGCAGGAGGATTTTTAACCACTGTGCCACCAGGGAAGTCCCCCCAGTGTCTTCTATAACCTGATCTCAGATACTACATACCATCACTTCTGCCATATTCTGTTGGTCATACAGACCAGCTCTGGTGCCTTGTGGGAGGGGGACATCTTATCACTTTGCTATATTATTGGAATCATAGTGACAAGATGCTACCACAGTTCTAGCCATTCCACTACACACATCACAACATCTAGCAGAAGGAAAAATTGACCCTGTGTCGTTTAATAGTAAGCAGCCTTTCCAGAGCCCCCTCACCAGAATTCTCTTTGTTTCTCATTGGCCAGAGCTGGGTCACATGCATATGCCTACACAGATCACTAGAGAGGGGAGTAGGCTCATGATGTTGACTTAGGCTAGGTGGTGTTGACCTGACTCACCTGGGAGAGAAATGGACATAAGAACAGTCACGGCTCTGCCCTCCTGCAGGAATGGCTGTGGGATGTTAGGTGATAGTGCAACTTTGTTAACATTTCTCTGGTATTTATTGTACTCCACACACCCTTTCAAGGTATGTCAAGCTTTATCACACTTGTTGCCTACAACAACCCTATGAGGTTTAGCTGCTATTAATCTTACTTTACAGATTGGAAACTGAGACTTACAGCAGGAAGTAATTTGCTCAGGGTCACATGGCTAGTACTTGATGGGACTGACATTCAGACTCAGGTCTTTTCTGTCATCTCTGCATAGGCTGTTAAATCCTGTACAGAACAGCTGCAAGAGAAACTGAAGCCTGGGGTCCTGCTCTCAGTTTAATTGGAGAGGTCAGAGGTCAGGGAGGTTGAGGAAGAAGAAGCACACATTGATTAGAGGTAGCCATGGTGACCCCATTTTTATAGGGGTCACCCTATAAAGCATAAAAGCCAATTTATAGGGTTTCATAAGGCACTTGAAATAAGTATCTGTAGGTTATTAATTTGAATTATGAAAGAAATGAGAGAAACTGGTATCTGAAAGGAATTAATTATTAATCAAACATTTTTTCAATTTATTTTATTACCTGTGTATTATGACAACAGTAAAAAGAGGAAATGAAAACAGAATATCCATGATCTCACCCCCATACAATATCAGCTGTTAATTTTGTTTCTCCCTTCCCCTTCTTGTCCCCAGACAACCGAGGATTTAGGTAGCCGACTGAGATGAGCTGAAGGCATGCGGAGGATGGGGGAGGAGAGGGCCTAGGAACCGTCCGGCTCAGAGCTTTACAAGGAGGGACAGTGTGCAGTGACCGTGGTATGCAATAGGCGAAGCCGAGGTTGGATGAGAGCACCAGCCTGGGGGCTCCAGTCTTGGTCCACCAGGAGGCCAAGCAGTGCATTCAGTGGGGAATTAATAAAGGACAAGGTTTTGAGTGTCTGATAAGGGAAGGTTCTGAGAAGTCAGGGAAGGCAAATTAAAGCTTCGCTGAGCCACTAGCAAAGGGCAGATTGACATGAATTGCATAAGCAATGTTTTATTTTGCTTAAGTTTAATTTATTTTAATATATAATACATATTTTATTATTATATATATATATTTTTGTTTGTTTGTTTTTGCGGTACACGGGCCTCTCACTGTTGTGGCCTCTCCCGTTGCGGAGCACAGGCTCCGGACGCGCAGGCTCAGCGGCCATGGCTCACGGGCCCAGCCGCTCCGCGGCATGTGGGATCTTCCCGGACCAGGGCACGAACCCATGTCCCCTGCATCGGCAGGCGGACTCTCAACCACTGCGCCACCAGGGAAACCCTGAGTATATTTTAAATGTAACTTATTTTTAATACATTCACATGGCACAAAATTTGAAAGGTACCAAGAACTGCTTAATGAAAACTCTTCTATCTGTCCCCTGCCACCCAGCTCTTCTCAACCAGAAGCAACTAATATTACCAGTTTTCTCATATCTCCTTCCAGAGATAGTTTATCATAACAGCAATTACATATGTATTTCTCTACCCTGGTCCCCCATCCCCATTTTAAAAATTTATATAAACAGTAGCATACTATTCAAACTGTTCTGCACTACACCTTAACTCCCCTTTTAATAAAAGTATGCCTTCCAAGCAGTTTTTATGATCCAGGAATAAAAATGGAAAAGTATACAGTGAGGGAATAACTTGGTGAAAATCCAGGGTAATCCAGGATGCTGGAAAAAGCATCATTGAATTAACTTATAAGCCTGATTGGAGAAGGATTCTAGTTACAGCCAGGACAGGGTCCACAGGGAAGGAGAGAATGGTAGGTGTTCAGGACTTGGATGATTTAGAAGACGAGGAGGTTGAGATGAGGAAGAAGTACAAGGAGACTCTGGATATGTAGTAATATCTAAGGAACTGGCTTTTTTTTATTATTTTAAGCATGTCCCACAGAAAGAAATACATTTTACCTAATGACCAGGATACATGTTTGTGTGTGTGTGTCTGTGCTTACTTTTACTGTGTTCAATGTTTTCTGTTCTTTTCTATTCCATTTTATTTCCTCAAAAATGTGTTGATCATACCCATAAAGTAGATTCCATGACCCATTCATGGGTTTTGACCCAAATTTGAAAGACACTGTAAATTAAGTTGTAGCTTTGTTAGTTTGTAGTTGATGTAGAAGAGTCACCATTAGGGAGGGTAAAACCCATGAATGGAGGAGGTACAGTGTAACCGGTGTGAGAGTGAAGGTTCTGGGAGTGCTGGTGGGGAATGGATACGAAGGGGAGAAGACAGGCAAATACCGGATGGTGAAACTGGATAAAGACGTTGGTGGCTCAGGGATTCCAAAGTGGCCCTGAACATCAAAAGGAAGCAGCCCCACTCTTAACTCCTGTGCCTGTTGAGTCACAGGATTAGACAAAGAAAGGCTGCCAGTTGGACGGCAGCACGAGTGTGGTTTGTATGGACACAGTCAAGGCTCTCTTTTGGAAGGAGCTATAATCAAGGAAATACATTTCATTTAAATAGAAAGTGCTCTGCACGAGAATAGGGAATTCCATAGGACACAACATGGAGGGAACAGAGGTGACCTTGTAGAGAAAGGGATGGGGTTCCCTGAGGGAAGGGGTTTATGCCCATAGCGGCTGGGAGAAGTAGTTATAGGGGAAGCAGTAAGTAGGGTCATATTTTGAGGGAGGAGCTCAAGGATGAGAGGATGTTGTCTTTTGGGGAGCAGTGCAAGCTGAAGAAGGAAGGACCAGGTACACAGAGGGAAGAGGGGCAAGAGGAAGAGCAGTTTTAACAGTTCAGGGAATCGGCACATTCAGGCAGCTGATCTAAATGAAATTGCTCCGGGGAAGTTTGGTTAGGAATTATTCCTATGCCCAAATGGCGTAGACCCGGGGTCCATGAGTAGATTTCAAGTACTCCACCAACGTGTATAGAAGTTTCTTTATTTATAACAGAAATTTAGCATTGATTTAAGGTATGACTGTAGGGAACAGTGACTTTGTCACCAACTGAAGTCACCTGCTCGTATCACATTAAGTTGTTGCAGTATCTCAGAATTCCAGCAATGACCAGAAACAACACGTTATACCAGTTTCTTGTGTCACTCATCATACTTTGAAATTATGGTGATTATTAGATTCATTGCTATGTTTTGCTATTCAGTGCTTTATAAAGAAGTACATATATTATTATATCATAGATTCAGAGGGTTTATATTTATATAATATAGTATTGATATATTTATATATAATTTATATTATAAATTAATGTATTTATTAATATGATAAACTTCATAGTCTTGTGTATTTATGTGCAAAGAAAAGGTTGGAAGCTGCTGCCATAGAAGGATCTCTTCACCCCTGTGGAGATTTGGGGCTTAGAGAGCTGAGGGGTCTTTACAGGTTCTGATCACATGTCTATATGGAGAGTACTTGCAAATGCCTTACTCTGCCTGACGGAAAAGGGACTGGACTGTTTCAGGGACCAGCTGTGTGTGTGTGCATGTGTATGCGTTCTGAAAAATAAATACGTGGATGAGATAGTTCTCTTAAGTTTTGCTTTAAGTAGAATTTTAAGCTGTTACATGGAAATATCATATTAATTTGAAGGATAGTCTTATTCTCATTTCTTGTGATAGGATTATCTGGTATTAAAGTTTGGTTATATACCTTCCATTTAGTATGCTGAGAAGAAAGTTACTAAAAAACACTGTATGTTTGTGTATATTCCAAAGGACCGGTGTTTCTTGATCACCGAGATGAGCTTGAAGGAACATACAAGGTTTATTGCCAGAATCATGATGAGGCCATCTCATTGCTGGAAATATATGAGAAGGATGAGAAGATCCAGAAGCATCTTCAGGACTCCTTGGCAGATCTTAAGTAGGAGTTTTGAGCACTTCATTCCATCATAGCTCTTCAGTTCTGCCTTTTGGAAGTCACTCCCATGTCTATGTTATGGATCTATCATATTTTAAACATAAGTGATACATTATCGTAGGTCCTATTATGTAACTTGCCTTTTCCCATTCTGTATCATGGAAATCTTAAGTAGCTTCCTGCTTGTAGTTTTATCCATTAAAATCACTTTTATCTATACACACAAAGTATTAAGTTAGCATTTTCAGGTAAGAAGCTGCCAGGAAGATAGTTTGGTCCAAATGAGAGAAAAGGTAAGAAGATAAAGTCAGTTATTCTTGACCATCAGGTTAGAGTCTCCTGTCTTAGGGAGGCGGGCTATAAGGATATAATATATGTCTTAATATATTAAGACATATAATATTATATATTATTATATACTTATATAATATATATTAAGACATATAATATATGTCTTAATATATATTATATATTATATAAGTATATAATAATATAAGTAGGTCAAAGTGAAGTTAAGGGCTTATTGACTTTTTTTAATAGACTAGATATGCCACCATAGACATTCACAATTCCCCTTCTGTCCCATGTGGTTTTTGTCTGCCCAGCTAATAGGCATTAGTTGGACTAACATGTTCTGAGAGGAATGTGAAAATCAGCATCAGTATTTTCTTTAATCAGTTGTTTCTTCTTTTCATGCTCACTGCCCTGTAGGAGCCTGTACAATGAATGGTAAGTTCTTGCCACTTGTTGCAGAAGCTCGTTTCATTATTTTCTTCCTTTATAGACAGAAACCTAGAAGTAGACCTGCCTTGCTGTATTTTCCTCCGTAGCACTTACCACCAAATGACACTTCATATAATGTTTGTTTGATTATTGTCTGCGTCTTTCCACTAGGGCAGGGACTTTTTTGGGTCACTACTAAATCCGCAGCACCTAGAACACTGCCTGGTGTTTATTAGGTGTCCAGTAAATGTGAATGAATTAAGTTGGGAAGTAGGGTGAAAGAACGGAGCTATATTAGGAATAACAAATACTACCTGTAGGCCCTGTGTTACTGACAGTTGACTGAAGTCTCTGTTTTTCCTTTTCCTGAAGGGGATGCACAAATTATATTAACCTGGGCTCCTTCCTCATCAAACCAGTGCAGAGAGTAATGCGCTACCCACTGCTGCTGATGGAGTTGCTGAATTCCACCCCCGAGTCCCACCCAGATAAAGTGCCTTTAACCAATGCAGTCCTTGCAGTCAAGGAAATCAACGTTAACATTAATGAATATAAACGTCGAAAGGACCTGGGTAAGAAAAGCATACTTGCTGAAAAGGAGGTATACCCTTGAGAATGTTCTCCTTCTCAAAAGAATTAATTACTTCACCAGAGGTGGACAAGCAGATGGTAGGTGATAGGGCTGTGATGAAGAAATGGTAATAGAATTTGGGGAAAATGAGATAATGAAAGAAAAAAAACAGTGATCATAATAAAAGCACAACCATGCATGTTGGAAATAAGGCACCTGTGATAAAGCGTATAGCAATGAGTCTTTCCTAAGAGGTATAAAGACCTATTAGAGAATGGCTGATCAGGAGAGTTCCTTCAAGCATGAGTGATTGCCTTCTCAACTCATTGAAGGCAGTCCTTTTCAGTCCATGCTTATATGTGTTTGCTCCGCACATCTGGTTGGATATTTCAGTGTTTCCACTTAAGCTAGAACTTTTTTGTGTTCTTTCAGAAGACCCGGGTTTGCCCACCTCCCTGGTCCCATCATCAGTCCTGCCTCTGGTCTGTGCCCCTCCCCTCCCCCACAGAACTGTGCAGTCAGTTGCCAAACACCCTCTCTTTCTTCATAATATAGAACAAACTGAACCATTTCTTTTGTCTCATCAAATCTCTTGTTGAGGCCTTGATTTTGAACACTCAATGAGTATAGCATGGTGACCATGCTAAACTGATTTATTATTCATATCCTCAAAGAATCTATAATATAGCCTCTTTGCCTGTCTCTCCACTATTCTCCATATTTATCTAAAATCATTTTCCCCTTCCGCTTCAGCCATGACACCCGTGTTTAATGTTGACTGTGGATGTTAAAGCTCTCTGGCCATCTGGCCCTTTGTCTTGGTTCATATCTCCTCATGTAATGTCATCTTCATCTCCTACAACAGTAAAGTGTGCCTTTTTGCTACCACCCAGCCTTCCCTTGCTACCCTTTTACTCTTATTTCCAGGCTTTTCTGCAGACTGTGCCTGATGCATGACACATAGATTAATCAAAAACTCCTGCATAGCATTTCACTGTGAGACGATTGTATATAAATATCTCGTTTGTATATGAGACCATTTAAGGTGGTCTTATAAGTCAGGTACTGTTACTTTCTACATCTTATTGGAAAGGAAAATGGGGCTCAGAGAAGTTAAGTGGCTTATTTAAGGCCACACCTTTTTTTTTGGCCATACCCCATGGCTTGCAGGACCTTAGTTCCCTGACCAGGAATTGAACCCAGGCCCTGGCAGTGCAAGTGCGGAGTCCTAACCACTGTACCACCAGGGAATTCCCTAAGGCCACACCTTGATGAAATGACAGACCCAGGCACTGAACTCAGGTTTCCTTGACTCCAAATCTTAGGCTCTGTTCCTGCTCTGTTCCTAACACCTCTGCGACCTTCCTTCCTCGTCTCTAACCTTCTCCAGTCTGCGCACAGTCTCTGCTGTTGTCCAGGTATCCGATCTGTCCATAAATGGTGATTTGGATTAACGTTTTGTGTACTCAGTTATAAGCTCATTGAAAACAAGCACTAGCTCTCGTTTGGGTTGTTAGTCTCATTTGTAGTCTGTCCATGCTCAGAAGAGGGCTTTCTTCACTCACCAATTTGACTCACTCCCCAGTCCTCAAGTACCGAAAGGGTGATGAAGATAGCCTCATGGAGAAAATTTCTAAACTGAACATCCACTCCATCATCAAGAAATCCAACCGGGTTAGCAGTCACCTGAAGCACCTCACTGGCTTTGCCCCACAGGTGAGGTTCCTGCGCTTGAAGGTTCAGCCTGTCTTTGGCTGCTTTTCAGGGCTCCACGGGGCAGCCTGCATGGTGTGAATTGGCAAGATTCCCCTCTTAGTACCTCCCCTGGTGTTTGCTAGCTGGTGGATACAGGACCCTGCAGCTACTGTTCGTTTAAATCCATCCACCCGACCCTCCATCCGAGCCTTGGTGAGCTGCTTACAGTGTGTATAAAGGCAAATCTGGAGGCCAAATCGGTCACCATGTAATAGTTATCATGGTTTTAGACACCCATAAGGAGCTTATAATCTTTTTGGGGAGACAAAATTAAAATTGTAGACATGTTAAGCTAGAAGGGATTTCAGAGATCACCTTGTTCAACACCATATGTCACACATGAGGAAATGTAAAGTCTAAGGTTTGAGTGATTTGTAAAACAGTTATCAACAGAGTAGATCCAGTCTGCAGACTTCATGCACTGAACCATGTGTATGTGATACAGTCGGTGGAAAATACCAGCTAAAGAATCAGTTGCTAAGCTTTGTAGTTTGTTCTCTACACGCTGTGGTACTTAAAAAAACTGGAGCTCCGTGAGAGTGTGCTTCATGTTGGCAAGAGATTTAATCTGAGTCTTAAAGGAGAGGGGCAGGTTTGGCATAGGGAGAGAGGAGGGCAAACCAGGCAAGGCAACAATACTGGTGAAGCAAACAGCCTGACCAGCAAAGCGTTTCCATCAGGAACAGAGGGGGTCAGTTAGAGCCAGGAGGGCCTGTGTGTACTTAGGAGCTCTGTCAAATCCAATTCAGTATGATTCAGGGAAACATCAAAGGCTTAAAATTTAAACAAAAGATGCTTTAAGAAAGATGCTTTTGCCAATAAGATCTATTGAGGGAGAGTCCCAATTTGCTAACAGCACTTTTTTATTTTGAACAGATTAAAGATGAAGTATTTGAAGAAACAGAGAAAAACTTCCGAATGCAAGAAAGATTGATCAAATCTTTTATCCGAGACCTGTCTCTCTACCTCCAGCATATCCGGGTGAGTAAAGACATCACTCTCGTTAGAATCATGTACAGTGGGGAATTCCCTGGTGGTTCAGTGGTTAGGACTCGGTGCTTTCACTGCTATGGGCCTGGGTTCAATCCCTGGTCAGGGAACTAAGATCCCAGGCAAAAAAAAAAAAAGGAATCACATATGGTATAATTCCATCCGCTCTCCTGTTCATCCAGCATATTGCTTAATGAATGTGGAATAACCTGGACTCAAATGACCAGTATGCCATGACAGACTTTTTATTGGGATTCTTACAGATATAACTACTGAACGAATATCCTCCTGTTATTGTTTTATTTATTTATTTGGTTGCAGCAGGTCTTAGGTGTGGCAGGTGAGCAAGTTTTGGCTCGTCAGCTCCTTAGTTGCGACACGTGGGCTCCTTAGTTGTGGCTCATGAACTCTTAGTTGCGGCATGAGTGTGGGATCGAGTTTCCTGACCAGGGATCAAACCTGGGCCCCGTGCGTTGGGAGCGTGGATTCTTAACCACACTGTGCCACCAGGGAAGCCCCTCTTACAGGTTATTGACAAGTTAAACAATGTCAGAAGATCAGCACTGTTGTATTCATGGTAAAGGGACCTAGCTCTTTCCTCCCTCTCTTTCGAGCTTCATCACCCTTTTTTCCCCGTCTCCTGTATCCAGTTATAGAAGAAGCACTTGTGACAGTTCATTTTGTCAAAATCATTTTGAAGATCAAATAGTAAGAGAATGGTTCCTGTGGGGTGTGCTTCCTAATAATAATATTTATTTACAACTGTACATAGGCCTCTAAGGTTGTTAGAGCCACGAATAGGTCTAGAGAGTTGCAAGAACTTGGGAGATCAGGCGGGCCCTGGTCTTCCTTCCCTCAGGCAGTGCTTCCTTCATGAAATCAGAACCAGGACTAGAATCCTTTCTCTTAAAACCTGTAATTTCTCTGTTGATTTAATAGAATAGTGTTTATATAAGTATACCATGTACCCCTGTCCCTCACACAGGAAAATCTCATCCCATGAAACAAATAATTTCGTTTAAAAGAGATCCTTTGCTTTTTAAAAATCATTATTGTTATTATTATTAATTTTTTTTTAAGTAAAATGGTACAAAATTCAAAAACTACCAAAGGGATAAGTATAAAGTAAAAATAACTCCTCCCCCTCCCCTGTCTCCTAGTCATCTATAGAGGCGGACACATCTATCAGATTCTTCTGTCAGAGATATGTATGTGAGGGAGAGAGAGAGAGACACACACACGCACTGTTGAGCACCTTGGGTTTGCATTTTGGAAATCGTTCCATATTTGCACACACAGAGCTGCCTTGTTCTTTTTTACAACTGCATAGTATTTAATTGTTATGGACATGTCATAATAAATTTAACTAGTCCCCATCGATGGATGTTTAAGTTGTTGCAAAAAGTTAGAAACATTGGCACGAGAAACATCCTTGCATGTAGATCATTTTTCTGATCTATGTGAGTATATCTGAAGGCCAGAGTACTAGATTTTCTGAGCCAAATCATAAAGCAATGCAAATTTCATAGATATCATACCAGTGAAAACTCCCCACCAGCAATGTATGAAACAGTTTCCCCATCCCTTGCTAACATACAGTGTTATCAAAATCAAAATGTCTTATCTTTGCCAGCAAGAAAGGTAAAAATTGCTATTTTAATATAGTTTGAATTTACATTTCTTACATTATGAATGAAGTTGAGGATATTTTTGTATGTTTAAATCATTATATTTCTTTTTCTGTGATTTGTCTATATTTGGGGGCACTTATTTATTGATTTATTGTTCTTTTTCTTATTGACTGGTAGTACCTTTGTATATGTTGGAGAAAATAGCCCTTCTTCTGAGATGCTGGCTTACAAATACCCCCTGCCCCAGTTTGTTGACTTTTGAATTTGCTTAAAATGTTTTCTCTGTGTAGAAGAGTTTTATTTTTGTGTAGTCTAACTAAACTTTTATGGTTTCTTAGTTCTGTGTCATACTTTAAAAGGTCTTTCCCATTCCAAGATAATTTTAAAACGATGTCCTATGTTCCAGTACTTTTATCATTTTATTTTTTTATATTAGTCAATCTAGCTGGAATTTATATTAGTATATAGGAATCCAACTTTTTGTTTTTTATCTAGTTATCTGTCATTATCATTTATTGAGTAATACCCACTGATTTGAAGTGCTTCCGACACTTCTTTTAAATAGCAAACTCTCTCCATTCATGTTTTGAAAATGTGATCAAGTAAAATTGAGGGCTTATAAGACTTTCCAGGAACACATTTGCTTAAAGTGAGAGATTTGACCAAGTATGGTTCCCTTGCCTTAGGACTTTACCCTAAATTCCTCTAATTTTGATATCTCCCTATTGGCTATTTTCTCCCCATGTTATCTAAATGTGTAGCAAGTATACACCTGAGCACCCAACTCTTAAAAGGCTTGTCTCCCTAGCAATGGGTGACAGCCCTTGGACGGGCAGGTCGGTTTGGTTCTGACTGCTAACTGCTATCTAGGATGAATGATGGAGGCTAGAAGTTCTGTCTGCTCTTACCTGTGTTTGTAACTGGCTGCAGGAATCGGCATGTGTGAAGGTGGTGGCTGCCGTGAGCATGTGGGATGTGTGCATGGAGAAGGGACACAGAGACTTGGAACAGTTCGAGAAGGTGCATCGCTACATCAGTGACCAGCTCTTCACAAATTTTGTAAGTGACTCTTCAGCCCACTTTTTTCAGGCTGGGTCTCTTCCCAGGGTTCTCTCTAACATCCAGCTCATGGAAAAGTTAATTCCATAGAGACACGCTTTCATGGACCAGGAATCCTAGTGTTCTTTAGCTAAGTTCATATCAGAATTTTATATTCAGAACCTGACTTTCAATCAGCTGAAAGGACAGATAGGACCTGCATGTATGCAAACAGATTTTTTTTTTTTTTTTGCGGTATGCGGGACTTTCACTGTTGTGGCCTCTCCCGCTGCGGAGCACAGGCTCCGGATGCGCAGGCTCAGCGGCCATGGCTCACGGGCCGAGCTGCTCTGCAGCATGTGGGATCTTCCTGGACCGGGGCACGAACCCATGTCCCCTGCATCGGCAGGCAGACTCTCAACCACTGAGCCACCAGGGAAGCCCTGCAAATAGATTTTTTTATAATTGTGATCAGCCCAGTTTCAGGGGATAAAGGAAAACCAGGAAATTTAATCTGGTATCACTACTGATAACTGATCAAAAGAAAATAACTAAAGAACTAATAACTTAAAACGGAATATTTTTGCATAGTTAAGAGATTAACAAATAGATTTTTGAAATGGCACAAACTATTTTGTAAAGACTACTAAATGCCAAATTGCTTGGGAAATTCTAAATATATATTCTGTATATATCTCCTGAGTAGAAATGGGTGGGCTTTGATAGTTTCTTGGAGATCTCTGGATGCTTGAAGCATCTTTAGAAAACATTGGGGGAACTTGGGGGAACATACGGTTATTCTAACAGTAGCATCTTATTAAAAGTAATTTACTAAGCACCTATTTATGTTCTTTTGTGTCAATATTGTGCCCTCTATGTCTATCCCTCTAGAAAGAATTAGACAAAAACTTTTGAAAAGTGAAAACAGATTATTACTAAGTAGTTATGAGTAGAAGAGGTATGATGGGTGTGTGAAAGTTTCTCTACCCCAGATTATGTAACAACTAAATCTTTTTAAAATTTATTTCTTATTGATGTATAGTTAAATTACAATGTTATGTTAATTAACTTCTGTACAGCAGAGTGACTCAGTTACACATATATATGCATTCTTTTTTATATTCTTTTCCATTATGTTTTTTTTTTACACCAAAGAAAAATTTATTAAAGTATAGATTACTGGTTATTTAAAAATACATGAGAAAAGACAAACATACAAAGGCATTATCATATAACTGACTTCTAAACTCAATACTTTTGAAATACAAAATAATGATCATTACCTCCAAAAGTCAGTTTGAAACAAATTGACTTTTAAGTTGGTATTATAATTCTTTTCACTCAGTTTTGCTTACAAATGTTCTAGGTTTTTCAGTTTCGTCACATATCAGAACTTTTTTTTGACATGTTTACTTCTCAAAGTAGAATATAGTTATTTCTTGCAATTAATGTCGGCAACTATAGAAAGCTTCTCTTAAGTCACAAGGATTCAATATGGTTGCTGCTTTGGAAATAGTTACCATTCTGAGTTATCTATACTAAGACTCGTGCATTGACAGGCAAAATATTAATGGGCAAAGTATGGAGATTGAGAGCAGGAGGACTAAGGAAAGATACCTTTTACTGCAGACCTGCTAAAAGAAGGCTCCATTATTTACTCTGATAGTATTGCTAGAGAAGCAGTTTCTGCCAGATCACAGGTTGGCTATGTAGTTGTCCATTTTAAATTTCCAACGCTAAAGAATGGCAGACTTCAACAGTTAGATTGCTCAACCAAACAAGCAGAACTTTAAGTTACCATATACTTTAATTACGAGAAATAAATTATTTTCTTAATTGGTTTAGCAGCCTTGTACCTGGAAAGGCAGCAAAACCCACTTTGTTCCAAAATTAGAAGGCCGACCCAGAGGCTGCTTCTAAGATGCCTAACTATCTTCTATCATCCATCAGTCGTGAAGGTGGACCTTCATGAACTCAGTAACTTAATAAATGTAAAAATGAACTCACCCATCAACACAATGTTGAGCCTGCAAAACCAAAAAAGTACATTCATAAGGTAGGAATTGGTTTGTATAAAACAAGAGGGTATATATCCTCTTATATAACACAAGAGGAATATGCATGGTAATAAAAACAATCTATAATAAACTTGTAAAGAAATGATTCTGGTTTACATGTAACTCTGCTTAAACTGACCATGGCTGAATGATTAAACATTTTCTTCACCTAACATAATGCCCATTCATTATAAGCTAAGCTGGACTTGGTTTCTTATAAATCTCTTATTTCCTTGGATTTGTCTACTACACCCTTACTTTATAGCCATTTAACTAAAGCCCCTCGTCAGAAGGATACCAGATTCATTAAACAGAAGCATCTTCTCGTAAGAATCTGCACTTCAAAACAGCGTATGAAGAACCAGCAGCTGGCTCTCCAGTGTAGCTACCTCTCATTTCACATAATCACAGAGACAGTGCAGTTTACTAACCACTCCTTCCTTACAGAAAACTCAGTAGCTGTAAAAAATTTTTGTTCATTTCAGAACACATTTCAATACTTATTAATTCCAAAGATCCGAACACCATGTAGCTGTGGCATTTTGGGAATTAGCACACTCAGGAGAGAAGCTGTGTTTAAGATGAAGTGAGTTGGATCATACTTCATATAGAAACTTGTCAGAAAATATAGAATTATTGGAGAAATTGTGAAAAACTTCCTTGAAGATGTAAACTGTACTCCATAGTCCAGTTGTTCCCAGTGAGTTAGGAGCCTCGCTTTACCCTGGTCAGGAGTTTCAAATGGTGTTCCTTTTACTGCATGCAGAAATACATACATGCCCAGATTATGTATAACATTTGTTAAGGTCCAAGCAACAGGAACACTGAAGAAGGGAATACTGAGTAAAACGATATGAAGCAAGCCAACTCCCAAAGCATATGTCAGCCACATACCCTGGCTGTTCATTACATGGGTATTTGGATTCACCTCACTGTGGGCAGCTCCAACATTCATGTTTGCACCGCCACCCCACTCCCGGCGGCTGGCTGGCTCAGAGCAGTATCAGCTCCGCGGTGGCTGCAGGGCTAACGGCGGCATCTCCTCCATTATGGTTTATTGCAGGATATTGAATATAGTTCCCTGTGCTACACAGCGGGACCTTATTGTTTGTCCATTCTCTGTATACCAGTTTGCATCTGCTAATCCCCAATCCCGATCCAAGCCTCTCCCACCTCCTTCCCCCTTGGCAGCCACCAGTGTATTCTCTATGTCACTGATTTTGTTTCTGTTTCATAGATAGGTTCATTTGTGTCATATTTTATTTATTTATTTATTTATTTTTGGCTGCATTGGGTCTTTGTTGCTGCACGCGTGCTTTCTGTAGTTGCAGAGAGCGGGGGCTACCCTTTGTTGCAGTTCATGGGCTTCTCATTGGGTGGCTTCTCTTGTTGTGGAGCACAGGCTCTAGGTGCATGGGCTTCAGTAGTTGTGGCACGCAGGCTTAGTTGCTCCGTGTCATGTGGGATCTTCCCGGACCAGGGCTCGAACCCGTGTCCCCTGCATTGGCAGGCAGATTGTTAACCACTACGCCACCAGGGAAGTCCTGTGTCATATTTTAGATTCCACGTATAAGTGGTATCATGTGTTATTTGCTTATTCTTTCTGACTTACTTCACTTAGTATGATAATCTCTGGTTGCATCCATGTTGTTGCAGATGGCATTATTTTGTTCTTTTTTATGGCTGAGTAGTATTCCATTGTATATATGTACCACATCTTCTTTATCAATTCACCTGTCAGCAGACATTTAGGTTGTTTCCATGTCTTGGCTATGGTGAATAGTGCTGCTGTGAACATAGAGGTGCATGTATCTTTTTGAATTATGGTTTTGTTTGGGTATATGCCCAGGAGTGGGATTGTTGGGTCATATGGTAATTCTATTTTTAACAACTAAATATTAAGTTAAATTCAATTTATATATAGACACGTACACATAAGTGATACCAGACAGATGGTCACAAATGGGTTGTAATGCAAACATCATGTTCATGTATGTAGTTTAGCATTTGTTATCAACTATGCAGCTATTTTACACACTGTTTGGCGTGAGCAAATAGTTGGGTGAAGAGTTACAAGCTGAGAAGCTTTGTAAAATACGTGCGTACATCTGGTGTCGGATCTGCATGGGTTTAGCTTGTGCACTAGGAGCAAAGCAGCTGGTACAGGACATAACAAAATCCACCTGAAGATAGTTTTGAGAATAACAAATTCGGGACACTGAACACCGTGCCTTTCTCGTCCCCACAGAAGGAGAGGACAGAGCGGCTGGTCATCTCTCCCCTGAATCAGTTACTGAACATGTTCACGGGGCCCCACAAGCTGGTGCAGAAACGCTTTGACAAGCTTCTGGACTTCTATAACTGTACAGAACGGGCAGAGAAGCTGAAGGACAAGAAGACCCTGGAGGAGCTGCAGTCGGCCCGGAACAACTACGAGGCCCTGAACGCCCAGCTGCTGGACGAGCTGCCCAAGTTCCATCAGTACGCGCAGGGCCTCTTCAGCAACTGTGTGCATGGCTACGCCGAGGCCCACTGTGACTTCGTGCGCCAGGCGCTGGAGCAGCTGAAGCCGTTGCTCTCGGTGAGGCCCGCCCTCCCCATGGAGAGGTAGAATCCCAAGTTCTCCTGGAGTTTTTCTGGGAATACACAGCCAGGTTGTCAGAGACATTATTAAACTAGGTAGATTAAGTATGTCACTGGGTCAGGCCTGTCGGGAATCAGAATTCTTGATCCCTTGATGCAGCCGGGGAACCTGCGGCCTTTAAATGGCTCTCTTTCCACCCTGAGAGATCCCGGAGGAGCCAGCCAGCTCGGGCTGCGGGCACTGGGCTGCGGTGTTGGTGGCTTACACTTGAGGAGTTTTAAGGAGACTGTGCCAGTCCTGGGATCGTTCACGTGTGTTCTCTTCTTTCCTCTGTCTCTGCTCTCCCTGTGCATGGACTCCAGTTACTCAAAGTCACCAGCAGGGAGGGGAACCTGATTGCCGTCTTCCATGAGGAGCACAGCAGGGTCCTGCAGCAACTCCAGGTTTTCACCTTCTTCCCAGAGTCTCTTCCTGCCACCAAGAGGTCATTTGAGAGGAAAACTATGGACCGCCAGTCCACCCGAAAGCCACTCCTGGGCCTGGTGAGTGGAACTGGAGAGGCTCACATGGCCTGGTGGTTAAGGTGTGAACTCCTGAGTGAGACCGCCTGGGTTCAGATCCCAATTCTGACAATGACTCACTCTGTGTCCTTGAGCAAGTGCTTCATCGGTTTCCTCATGTCTAAAACACAGATAATAGTTATACTTACATCATAGAGTTGTTTTGAGATTCAGATGAGTTAAAATATGTAAAACACTTGGACGTTGCCTGACACCATTATTAGTTAGCATTATTCAAGTAAGCTATTATCATCATCATCATTATTATTAATATTGATGGACTCAGCTCTGTCTCTACAGATGAGCAATTTAATAGGAGTTTAAATATTTTATAATAATTGGAGAATAAAGGTTATTGAGTTCAAATCTATCATGCTCTCATTCATTCCTTCACTCACTATCACTAGGCACCGCTAGTGTGCCTCCTGGTACAGACTTCAAAATGCCCTCTGAAAAGCATTCTTGGATCCTATCCTATACAATGAAAGGAGTTAGTAAAGGATTAATATTAGTACTTTGATCAGTGAAAGGAACTGGCTTAAGGGTATGTTAATTCTGCCAGGCTCCCTATTTTTGATCATGTATTGGAAAAGGTGGTTATCTGATACACTGCCGAACAGTTAATGGCTGACCACTTTTTAACCTGGAGTTATTTTCTTTTTGAACTCGATTCTTGCATATTCTGAAAAGTACGGTAAGATATACCAGATTATATGGGGTAAAAACCTAAAAGACTGCTGATTTATCTGTGCTTACAATATTTTTGCCCCATGTAATCCCATAGACGTTAATTTATATGATCTAAAAGAGGGAATCAGATTTTTTAATCACGTTTACTTTTTCTTATTTTTATGAATATTGTTTTTATAGATATGAAGTCTAGATAAGGAAAGTCTCAGTTGTTTAGATTCATACAGTAAAATACAAGAAGACCTACTCATATTACTTAGATATTTTGATTCTTTAGGTGGCACTTTAATCACATATTTTTGTTACAGGATAACAGATATAAAACTAAGGGTGTGTTAAATTTTCTTACTACAAAGGCACCAAAACGTGACCCAAGAGATTACAATTTTTACCTGTAGCCACATGGACTGACTCAGGCGCAAAGGCATCTGATGGGAGTAGGGAGCTGGCTGTCATTGCCTCCACTTCTGAGACTGACAGCATATGGGATTAAATAGAGCTGCTGGGATAACGGCCAGGAAAGGGTTTTGATGATTATATTTCTTTTTTTTTTTTTTTTTTTTTTTTTGCGTATGCGGGCCTCTCACTGTTGTGGCCTCTCCCGTTGTGGAGCACAGGCTCCGGATGCGCAGGCTTAGCGGCCGTGGCTCACGGGCCTAGCCGCTCCGTGGCATGGGGGATCTTCCCGGACCGGGGCACGAACCCGTGTCCCCTGCATCGGCAGGCGGACTCTCAACCACTGCGCCACCAGGGAAGCCCGATGATTGTATTTCTTATATTGCCTTTCAGCCAAGTTACATGCTTCAGTCGGAAGAACTCCGGGCCTCCCTCTTGGTAAGGTATCCCCCTGAAAAGCTCTTCCAAGCAGAACGGAACTTCAATGCTGCCCAGGACCTGGACGTCTCACTTCTGGAAGGTGACCTGGTGGGCGTGATTAAGAAAAAGGACCCCATGGGCAGCCAGAACCGCTGGCTGATTGACAATGGAGGTAAGAACAATAGGCGACAGATTACTGTAACTCTAAATGAGGAAAGAGTGATATGGACTGTGCCTGAATCCTGGGTAGGCCAGAGAAAAATATGAGAGTGTTCGGTTAAAGGGAAAAGCAACCTTAAAGTTCTCTCCATCTCTAGAGAGTGTAATGCTCAAGTCATTACTGAAACAAAACCAGTCTTTGATTTTGTTTTTGTTTTTTTAAAAAGTCCAAAGGAGACTCCATTACTTACCTTGCAAGATCTTGCCTTGCTTTACCTTAACAGGCAGTGAATCCTGCCTGAAGGGTCCTTTGGCCTCTCGATCCTAACCTGAGTGAACCACAAGTTCTGTAGGTGTGTTTTGTGAGCATATGAATTTAAAACCTTTAAGAAGGGGTTGTTTGCTTTTTGAGTTACCCCTGCCCCCAACCAACAAACAATTTTGCTTCATGACTATTTAGGGAATGACTTTAAAAACAGCTTACAGCTTGTTTTTCTGTTGGGAGTGGGGGTGGGGAAGGCATACAGAATTCTTTTTTCAACGTACAAAGAATAATAAAGAATAACAATTCCAAAATCTGATAAGCTTTGGAATATCAGAGGGTTTTTTTTTTCAGAACTAATTTGCCAAAACCTGCCCTGATCTGAACTCATTTGGTGACAAAACCTGAACAAATGCTGTGAGGCTGTTTATGATCATTACTCTTCCCTTTTGGTGTGACTAGTCGCATACGTTTCGCTACAGAAACATGAATGGGTTTGACTATGGGGTGTTGACCCAGACCCTGCTGGGTATATCATGAAATCAATAGTATACTTGATTACCTTTCCTAAATCCCCAAATCTGAATTCCAAAACACATCTGGCCCCGAGTGTTTTAGAAAAGGATTGTGGGCCTCTATAATAAACATCTATGTTCATACCACAAGAACTGAAAATTTTAACATTTCTCAGTTTCTTTAAAAGTGTTGTGTGGATTTTTTTCTCCTCCCCCAGCCCCCTGCTCTGCTTACCCAAAATAATAAAGATTGAAGTGGGAGAGGAAGGACGAAGGATGGGGCCCCCAGGGTGATGACAGGTGAGAGCCACTGATAGACAGATGAACTCCTAGTGAAGATCCAGGATGTTTGAGCCCCCCTGTCCTTGGGGTTCTTCCTTATCTACTAAATCCTGGTGAGTAAAGTGGTAGCCAGAAGCTCATAGCATCAGCTCTTAGACCCTCCACCCCTTGGCATCTGCTCAGGGGACTCCTCCCCATTGCCCAGCAGACAGAACAAGTGCAGGCCGGCCTTTTTTTTAGGTCCAGGAAACACTGAAGATCAAGACAGAGATGGCCCTTGCTCAAGTCGAGGTTACATACTCTGGGTCCCTGCCTTAACAGATAATTCTTTCCTAATAAATATAACAATTTTTCCTATGGATTAGGGATCTCAATTCCTAATCTATGCTTAAAAGTTTTAGCTGAGGGCCCTCTCTGTCCTCATCTTAGGCAGTTTATTGATATGAACATGTGTTCGATGTGTATTCTAACTAATGTAAGCAGCTAGTTCCCACAGTATTCCCACCTCATTCCTAAACCAGGGACAGATTCAAGTGTGTGGTTGGAGAGGGCAGGGAGGCGTATCCGAGGGGCTCTGTCATGCTGAGGATGGTTTTTAAAATCCCTTTTTACCACACTCGATGGACAATTGAACACATCCTTAGTTAAGTCTTCCCCTTAGCCTTTGTTCCCATGGTCTGGCCCTTCTGTTTTCTTCATCTACTCATGCTCACTCAGACATGTGGTCTGTGGTTGTTTATGTTACTGTCTCTTAATTCTCAGCAAAGCCCCTTGTCACTCACCTGTGGTGCGGTTGTAATAGGTGTGAACTGGCAGGAGGCCACAGCATCTTGTCTCTACCACCCACATTGTGCCCTGGGATGGTGTCTGTTCTGTTTGTCTCTAGGAATCTTATTTTGTCTATTGACCTTAAACCATAGTTTCTTCTCTCCTGATTTCCTCCACCCTCCTCCTCCCACGAAAAGCTCTTCGTGTTTGTTTTTCCTGCCCGCAGTCACCAAAGGCTTTGTGTACAGCTCCTTCCTGAAGCCCTACAATGCACGCCGCAGCCACTCCGACGCCTCTGTGGGCAGCCACTCCTCCACTGAGTCGGAGCACGGCAGCTCCTCCCCCAGGTTCCCCCGGCGGCAGAACAGCGGCGGCACCTTGACCTTCAACCCCAGCAGTGTGGCCGTGTCCTTTAGCTCAGGGCCTTCCCAGAAACAGCCTCCAGACACATCTTCACTGACGGAATTTGACCAAGGAGCTCTCAGCGCATCCTTGAACTCAGAGAGCAGCCCTTCCAGATGCCCCTCGGACCCAGACTCCCCCTCCCAGCACGGGCCCTGGGATTCGGTAGACGCTGCCAGAGACCTTCAGCAGCCTGCTCCCACTCTGAGGAGCTCCCGAAACCCCAGGCATCCAGAAATGGCTGGTTACTCCGTGCCAGGGCGAAATGGGCAGGGTAGAGACCTTGTAAAAGGATGTGCAAGAACAGCCCTGTCTCTGGATGACAGAAACGGACAGCTGGAAAACAGCGAGGCGGAAGGCAACCAGGTGAGTGCGGCCTGGGTACTGTGGTTACTGCACCTGAGCAGATGCAGGTGATGCCCTCCCAGGAGTGGGTGAGTCAGAGGCTTACGCAGGGCCTGGGGGTGACCTGGAGATGGGCTCGCAGACAAATCCTTAAAGCGTTTGTGGAAACTCGCTGCTGTAAGAGTGGGCAGCTCCACCCCTTCTGGGCCCTTCCCTGGCTGACTTCACAGGCTGTTGTGTCTTGGGGCATTTACAGGGTTTTACCATGAAGCTTTTCCCACTCTTCCAGTGTGCTGATTTTTCCATTGTATAAAGTCTGCTGTTTAACTCGTCCACTTAGTTTTTTATTCAAATAACTATATGTTTATTTCTAGAATTCAGAAATAAAAGTCTGGCTCTGTTTCAGTTTTTCCTGTTCTTTTCATAATGGCCTGCTCTTGTCTTTGTATCTTAAACATTTTAAACCTACATATTTTAAAGTCACTTTCACATCCACAGCTGAGGAACCCCTAGCCACCTGCCTCTTGCCTTTGCTCACTTGCAGCAGTGAGTCTCTGTGTGTGTCTTACCTTCGTCTGTGAGCTCTCTGTGGTTCTGTTACAAACCACAGCCCAGGACGCACATCCCAGCTCTGGACCCACCAGCAGGCAGTTTTTCTAGATGTGATAAGGGAGGAAATGGCCCTTTCTTAGATTCTGACTTTGTGCAAGGAGCTCACTTCTAGCCTCATAAGCTCCAGTTCCTGAGCAGGTCCTAAACCCCAGCCTTCGGGTGTGTATTCATCCCTGTGCCCCTGTGGACCTCCTGACTTCTCCTTTTGATCACTGAATACCACCCTTGCTTTGCATGATAGCTTTGTTATGGGCACCTAGAGAGCATCCTTTCTCACTTTGAGGTTAGTTGTGTTTTGGGTTTTTTTTTAAGGTTTTTAAATTCAGAATTTCTGTGTTAGGGGTATGGTAGGGCATCCTCGTGTCTCATCCATCTTCCATGCTGACTGCAGCTTCTATCACTCTTTAAGGCAACTCTGAAAGTAAAAATATGTGAATTTTGGTTTTCTTTAAATCTGACCTGTTCATTAGGGTAGCCACAAGCCGTATGTAACTATTTAAGTTAGGTAAAATTAAACAAAATTTAAAATTAAGTTCTTTCATTTCACTAGGCATATTTCAAGTGTTCAATGGCCGTGTGGCTAAGGGCTGCCATATTGCATGGTGCAGATACAGATGGTCCCCATCACCACAGGAAGTTCTGTTGGGCAGCTTTGCTCTAAGCTGTTTCCCATTTCCTGATTCACTTTCTCTTCCTCACACAGGTCTATTTTGCTGTCTATACCTTCAAGGCACGGAACCCAAATGAGCTGAGTGTGTCAGCCAATCAGAGACTCAAGATCCTGGAGTTTAAAGATGTTACAGGAAATACAGAATGGTGGTTAGCCGAAGTTAATGGGAAGAAGGGCTATGTTCCATCCAATTATATCTGCAAAACTGAGTACACCTGAACCTGTTCTGCCTCCCATTCAACCTTGCTGCCTTTGCTTCCTTCTGCTGAAGGGTCCTGTTGTCCACTGAGAGGGCGCCTGCTCTTGAGACACTGGCCCTGCCTGCATGGCTTAACCATGGCACAGTGGGGCACAAGATAAGTCTTGCTCTCTTTGATTGGGTTGTCAACCTTGATGCTTGCTAGAATTTCTAGAATTTGAAATGGACCCTGGGGCTTGCAAGTGATTCAGTGACCGTGAGAAGAGAGGCCAATCCTGGGGTCAGCTTTTGGAAACGAGAAATTTCCAGTCAGAAGACCAGTATCCAATATATGCTGGAAGCTGTGCTATAGCATTAGAAGAAGTTGGTGTTGGTTGTGCCATACTGAGTTTGGGGTGGCCCCATGCGCCATGATCGACTGACCGGAGACCGACTTGGATGAAAAGAATTCTCTGGGAGCCCTTTCAGGCTGCGCCTCTGCATGTGGCAAGGAGTTTGTCGACCTTATACCAAATCTGGTGTTTTAAAACTTCAGTGTCTGGCACACATTCACACACACGCCCCTTATTTCTAAAAGTCCCTAAAACGCTACCACCTGTAATCTTTTATTTATTTCACTGCACTTCCAGATTGCTTGGGCAAAATTCAACTACTTTCTTTCTCCTTTTAAAAAATGCTTAGGGTCTTTCTTTTCCTTGAACCTTCATCTGAAAGGTTCTCTTCCCGTTAGGTGCTATCCTCCACACCTTGCTGACAGTCATCCTACTTTATATGGTCTGTGCGTGATAATGTCCCCTGGTCTCTCTCCTGAAGCTCAATATCTGATAGACTCTCCTAGGAGAACAGGATCAGAGCTCCCGCCATTTCATTAGAGGGACTCATTCTGCGATGGGCTGAAGCCAGTCTAGCCTGCTGGGAGACTGGATGCCTCTCCTCTTCATCCAAGCACACTACTGTCCACAGATGCAGAAAACATAACGCGTGTGTCTTATTTGAATTCGGATAAGCAGTCCCAGAAGTAGCTTATCCTAGACTTGGAAATAAGCATTTCCTGTTTCATCAGCCCCCGTGCTTCAGAGACCGCGGTCTAAGCCAAACAGAATCTAAAGTGCCTGATTGTGCCTCCCTCCACCTCAGGAAGATATTTACTAATCCTAACACTAAGAATCTCCCCCTGAAGTTTCTATGTGAGCAGGGCTCTGATTCTTAAGGCCTGCCCCAGACAAGAAAGCCTACCTTGGAACAGGAAACCGTGAATTTTGTCTTTTAAGAAAGGGAATTAAGAACAGCCTTACAGCCCTTGCTCCTCCAAATGCACCTTTGCCTTAAAGCTATGATGAATTGGGAGACACCTGTGAACTCCTTGGCCCCCCTGAGTCTGCTGGTTGGTCAGAAGGAAGCAAGGCAAGAGTCTCTTGTGAATAGTGTTTGTATCTAGAGATGTTTATATTTAAGTAGTTATTTTATAAATAAAAGCATTTCTAAGGGCCATGAGTATGTTTTCTTGATTTCCCTCCACGTTTAGCCTGAACCTTCTCACGTTTCTGGGGGTAACTTCTTGACAATCCAGTGATGCTCAGATCCCAAGAGATGGGAGAGACTAACTGAAGAAACTCAGGTCAAAAATTCATTTTGGAAAAAAAAAAAAAAAATTCATTTTGTCGGGACTTCCCAGGTGGCGCAGTGGTTAAGAATCCGCCTGCCAATGCAGAGAATACGGGTTCGAGCCCTGGTCCAGGAGATCCCACGTGCAGCGGAACAATTAAGCCCGTGTGCCACAACTACTGAGCCTGAACTCTAGAGCCCGCAAGCCACAACTACTGAGCACGTGTGCCACAACTACTGAAGCCTGCACGCCTAGAGCCTGTGCTCTGCAACGAGAAGCCACCACAATGAGAAGCCCGCACACTGCAACAAAGAGTAGACCCCGCTCACCGCAACTAGAGAGAGCCTGCGTGCAGCAATGAAGACGCAGCCAGAGATAAATAAAATAATTATTTTTAAAAAATTCATTTTGTCAAATATAATTTCAGCAGAATCACTGTATACTCAAAATATGTCTATGTTGCAGGCCTCGTCATTAAGCCATTTCCTATGACAAAATCCTAGCAAAACACAAAAGCTGGGATCTTGAAGAGGTAAGTATTTCCCAGCCATGACAGATGTGGAAACTGATGCACTAGTGATGAACTAACAAGTCCACACAGCAGTTCAAGCCAGATAGGGGGTGGGAGGGAGAGAAGTGGCAGGAGCACTAGCGGAGGTGGCACTGAGGACAGTGGGTGACAGAAGTATCACCTGATACTGTTAAGGAATAGGAAACGTAGGTGAATAGACTCCGTGGGAAAGAAACAGGCCAGTGAGGCCAACTCTTTCATTTTATGAGGTAGGAAGATGGGGTCCAGTGACATTGTGACTTTCCCGAGTCTCACATCAATTTTTGATGGATCCTGAATTTAAACTTATGCCTCAGGCTGAGCCTTTCCACCTTGTTCTGGAGCCAGACTGACTTCAGGCACTTAAGAGCTTTGTGACCTTGGCAACTTACCTAACCTGTGCTTCAGCTTCCTCATCTAAAGCAGAGAAAATACTACTGTCCGCCTTACAGGGTTGCGGTACAGGTGGAATGAGTTAATACGTGGACAGTGCTAGAACGCTGGCACATAGTGAACAATAAACTGGAGAGCCCCGAGGTCCAAGTCAAGGAATTTAGATTTCATGAGAAACTCCTTACCTAGGTGGATTCCTTGTTGTAGGAAAGCTAAATGATAGCAGGATGGTTTGGAGGGAGGACAGATTGAAGGCCGGAAAAATCTAATTAAGAAAGAGTTAACTGATGGGGCTTAAGATTGCTTGAGAATGGAAAAAAGCAGCAACATCCTATAAAGAGTATGAAATTGAAGAAATGATGAATCCCTAACAAAGGGGAGGTCATTGGGATGGTAGCAAGTTTATGAAAAGATGAGTATTGTTGTAAACACTAGATGTCTTCTAGGTCTTGCTTTTTCTTTATTTTTATTTTTAATTTATTTTTTATTGAAGTATAATTTACAGTGTTTCAGGTTATACAGAAAAGTGATTCAGTTATACATATATGTTCTTTTTCAGATTCTTTTCCATTATAGGTTATTACAAGATATTGACTCTAGTTCCCTGTGCTATACAGTAGGTCCCTGTTGTTTATTTTATATATAGTGATGTGTATCTGTTAATTCCAAATTCCCAATTTATCCCTCCTCCATTTTCCCCTTTGGTATACCATAAGTTGTTTTCTATGTCTTTGAGTCTATTTCTGTTTTGTAAATAAGTTCATTTATATCATTTTTTTAGATTCCACACATAAGTGATATCATACAATATTTGTCTTTGACTTCACTTAGTATGATAATCTCTAGTTGCATCCATGTTGCTGCAAATGGCATTACTTCATTCTTTTTATTATGGCTGAGTAGTATTCCATTGTATATCTGTACCACATCTTCTTTATGCATTCACCTGTTGGTGGACACTTAGGTTGCTTCCATGTCTTGACTATTGTAAATAGTGCAGCTGTGAACATTGGGGTGCCTGTATCTTTTCTAATTAGAGTTTTTGTCTTTTCCAGATATGTGCCCAGGAGGGGGATTGCTGGATCATATGGTAGCTTAATTTTGAGTTTTTTTAAGGAACTCTCCATACTGTTCTCCACAGTGGTTGCTAGATGCTTTTTTTTTTTTTTTAATATTTATTTAGGCTGCGCCAGCTCTTAATTGCAGCACATGGGATCTTTGTTGCGACATGTTTAGTTGTGGCATGTGGGCTCTTAGTTGCGGCATATGGACTCCTTAGTTGCGGCATGCAGACTCCCTAGTTGTGGCATGCATGTGGGATCTAGTTCCCCGATCAGGGATCGAACCCAGGCCCCCTGCATTGGGAGCATGGAGTCTTACCCACTGGACCACCAGGGAAGTCCCTAGGTGATTTTATAAGTGTGGTCTTCAGACCAGCAGCATCACCATCCGTGTACCCTGGGAGCTTACTGGAAATGCAGGCCCCACCCCAGGCCAACGGCATCAAGTTACCAGGTGATTTGTGTGCATGTTAAATTTGAGAAGCACCTGTGTAGGCAGTTATTTTTAGTAGAACTGTCTACTGTTGGAAAAGTAGGAATTACAAAAACCAAGGAAGGAAAGGGTGTCAGATGTTTCCTGCACAACAGAAGGAAATGTTGAAGAAAATTTCCAAATCCGGTTTGCCTGCTTACTTCCTGTCATGAATTTGCTCCCTTTCCTGCCTGGAAGTAGCTCTTCAGTTATGCTTTCTCCCAAGTGTCCTCAGAGAACAGGGAGTGGTGGTGGGAGTCTGTCATCATCTGAAACATGTAGATTTCTGACCTCTCTCTCAAGGTTGTTGTGAGAACAAATAAGATGATTCTGCAACTTTTTGTGAACTGTGAATTCTAGAAGTACATGGTTTTAGTAAAGATTGAATTTTATGTTAGCCTTTTACTTAGTTGTGAAGCTGGAACTCTGTGCATTTTTGTTTCAGGGTCAGGAGTAGTGTGCTCTGAATTGTGTTTCACTTGCAGAACCTTAGGCCTGAGGACCGAGAAACCTTGAGCATCATATACTTAATTCTAAATCCTCTCTCTGGTCGCTACACACAACTCAGGATTTTAAACTCTCCCATCTATTAGTACATCATATTGATGAAGTTTGTACTGTTTCACCTGGGCTGGGTGTGGCAGACATTCAGTGCCACAGAGCAGGGATGATCATCTCCAATCTCCAGTTTGCGCTGCTTTGTTTCATCCAGCCCACTGTGATTGTTAGTGAAGATCAATAGTGTTTTGTGAGTATCAATAAGGGAGTTTTCTACAACAAATTGCAGGCTTTGCAAGCTGCATAGGAATATCTATTCCTTAGTACCACTCAGAGGTGACCCTGAGTGCTTTCCCAGAGGTAAGTTGTGATGTGGTGGTAGGAGCAAGCAATGTGTTCATTCGGGAACATTTATTGGTAGCGGGCAGGTGCGTGGGACTCAGCAGCAGACCGTGGGGGTCTGCAGACTCAGCAGGACCATGTCACAAGGCACTGCCTGTGCACCACCCGCCTGGGTGTCCCCTGGGACTTCAAGAGGAGTCAAGGTCTAATCCTTCCCCGTGGCAGCCCTTCCCCAGCTCCAGGATCAGGGAAGCTGAGAGTGAAAGATTACCGATCTGTCATGGCCGCCTCCTGTCGTCAGAATCACTGTGACTAATTTGAACAAAGGACCTTCCTGCAGCCTCTCAGGTGAGATCAAAAGATTGCCTCCAAATAGGATTAAGCTGAATAAGATCTTTGCAATTTGATAGAAGGGGTGATAGCCATGAGCACTGAGACCATTTCTAGCTGGGCTTTAAAGATAACATAATCCTCTACAAATTCACACTGCAGTGGGATTCAGTGAAGATCAATGAATTGCTAAACTGACTTCAGTTGGAGAAATTGGCAATTTTAATCAGAGCTGCTTGGGCTTATGGTATTGTATTAGTTGGCTATTGCTGCTTTAACAAATTACTGCTAATTTAGTAGCCTAAAACAACAGAAATTTATTGTCTTACGGTTCTGGAGGTCAGCAGTTTGAAATCAGTCTAACTGGGCTAAAGTCAAGGTTGGTAGGGCTGGTTATTTACAGAGACTTCAGGGGAGAATCTGTCTCCTTGCCTTTTCCAACTTCTAGAAGCTGCCTATGTTTCTTGGCTTGTGTTCCCTTCCTCCATCTTCAAAGCCAGCAGCATAGCATCTTCAGATGTCTCTGTTTCTGTCATCACATCATCTTCATTTTAACTCTGACCCTCCTGACTCTTATTAAGGATCCTTGTAATTACACTGGGCCCACTTTGCATAATCTCCCATCTCAATATCCTTAATCACATCTGCGAAGTCCCTTTTGCCATGTAAGGTAAATCCCCAGGGTTTTGAGGATTCAGACATGGACATCTTTGGGGACCATTATTCTATCTACTGCAGGTATGGAGCCACATGACATTTTTGAGGCAAATTGTCTTTCTGAGAATGGAAACATGATCCAGTCCAGACTACACTGTTGATTCTGGAGCAGGAATTGGCAAACCTTTTCCATAAAAGGCCAGATAATAAATACCTTAGGCCAGCGGTCCCCAACCTTTTTGGCACCAGGGACTGGTTTCATGGAAGACAGTTTCCACGGACGGGGCGGGGATAGTTCAGGCAGTAACGTGAGCAATTGAGAGCAGCAGTTGAAGCTTTGCAAGCTTGCCCGCTGCTCACCTCCTCCTGGGCGGCCTGGTTCCTAACAGGCCAAGGACTGGTATGGGTCCACGGCCTGGGGGTTAGGGACCCCTGCTTCAGGCTTTTTAGGCCATACAGTCTGTCACAACTCAACTCTGCCACTGTGACATGAAAGCAGGTATAGATAATACAGAAATAAGTGAGCATGGTTGTGTTTCAAAACAACTTTAAACAGCAGGCCATATTTTGCTCTTATGCC